AATCCCTTATTCAAAGCTTTTTCTCACTGGAAAAAAATTTTTTGTGTGTGACTGTAGTATGGATGTTGGATATAATTTGACATTTTTAGTGGAGGAGAAAAATTGTGTTTCCTGTTTCCATATTTAGGAAACTTCTGATCAACATTCTTGAACTTGGTGCTAATTAAGCTTCTGAGAACTTCTTACCATTCTGTTTTATACTTCTTAATCATAAGCCTTAAAACCTCTGATAGTTTTCACTTGGAGTCCCTGATTTTAACTTGAAATGACTTAAAGTGAAAATTTGTTAGCTTTTTGTATGTTTGAATTTTTGTGTGTGTTCTGTTTTTAACTTTCGACTTAAGTTTTAAGATCATCAATCAAAAGCTTTTCTTTCAAGTCAGTGGTACTGATCTCAATTGCAGGACTAGGGGGTCAGCATTTCCCTTATGCTATTAAAAAGAATTTAACATAGAAGTAGAGTATTTTAGGAATGTGAGCTCCACTGCTCTTTTTATCACACATCTATCTGCATTTTGAAATGAAAAAAATAAATTAGATATAAAAAACTCAGGAAATGTTTTCCCACTGTCTCCCTGCCTGTCCCCCCTTCACTCTCTTTTTGAACAAAGGTAAATAAATTACTGACTGCTCTACTAGCTTTCAGCAAGCTGCAGAGAGGCTCTCTGTAGCTTTATATATTTTAAAGTACATTCATTTATTCAGGCTATCTCTTTCCTTTATTTAAATGTTTCCCATACACATTTTCTTTTTCCTTTTGAACTATTGCGAACATGTCTTATCTCCTAACATTCTGTAACCCCAGTGGGCATTATAATCAGTCTGTGCTTTTGTCTTTCAGATGGCATTTATTTGTGGGGTGTGTATGTCTGTTGGTTGTTTTCATCTGCCAAATACAACTAATTTTGTTTATGAATTTCAGTGAAGCAGTGAAAACAAAGTATTTAACATATGAACGATGGCTGTTGCAAGATCTCTTACACTGCCCCACCTCATGCCCCAAATTCAGGGTGGATTGGTTTAGCCTTCTCATTATTAGTAATCCTTGTTAACTGCATTGAATTTAGTCTTTGAAGTTTTGCTTCCAGATAGGATTCTGTGAAGGGTAATATTATAAATTAAAAACTTTACCAGGTTCTTAAGAGAGTTGCTCAGTTTCAACAGAACATAATTTACTTTCTCCAGATGGGAATAAGTCACCTTGATGGGCCTTCTGACCAGATAATTTAGATTGGGTGAAGTGAATCCAGAGAAGACTGAGATGAATGTTGGGATTATTTCTGATTTTCATTTGCAAGGGAATCCATGCTCGGTGTGTTGATTTCATATTTTGGTTCATACTCTGAGGCTTGCTATCTCCTTGTGGGCAGAGCTTTGTGGATGTTGTTGCTTTTCTGTGACACTGTGCAATCTGTTGTCTAATATATGCGTAACTGAAAGGTTTGTGCAAACTGCCTGTCTTCCATGCTTCCCCCCTGCCCCTCTGCTCTTATTTCTTCCTACATGAAGTATTGTATATTTTGTTAGGAAGAAAAGCCGTTTTGGAAATTGCCTATTTCATAAATTGTCTGGTCACACAGGGGTTGAATGCTATATTCTTGTCTTATTTATTTTGAAAACTTTGCTACTGAACTCACCTTAATCAATGAGCTCAGTGTTGTCTCCAATAAGTTATGTGTTGAATATATTGATTGGGAGGGATTTTAGAAAACACATCTGGGGTTTGTAATGTCAGCAGTGTTTTGATTATGAAAAGAGTTGGAACCTGGGGACGTGGAACCAGGTGGCGAATGCCCTAAAGCCAGTGGTGACATGGTGGACTGGTTTCCTCCTGGGATCTAGTTCATGCCCTGCACTTTAACTGTGGTGACTGGCTACTATAGATTCACTTTTTTGCTCATTAAAATGTTAAAAAATCAAACTGTACATAAAAAGATTTGTGAAAATATAAACTTGGGAATTGATCTGGAGAGCTGGTGGAATCTTCCCCACCCCCTGCCTGAGCAATGAGGCCATTTACATTTCATCAGCTATTGCATTTTGAAGATCCTATTTATGTGGCAGTAGTGAGGTTGTGCTGAGACTGGTCTGGGAAAGCTTGTGTAGGCAAGAGAAGTGGGGAGAGAACAGGAAAATTACCATCCACAAAGAAAGTTCCCTAGCCAAAAGACACAGGCTCTAGAGAGAAAAAGGGACTGGGAACTGCTCAGTGACTTTTTCTAGTAAAGTTAATATTGAAAGACCCTCTGCTATAAATACATTAGTCAAAGTGTATTTAAATCAGGGTTGTAAAGTCCCTTCTCTTGGAGAGTGGTACTTTTCATATTCAGGTGGTTGTGTTTTCTTTGGGAAAAGAGGATGAATTGGTTAAATGTTTTTACAGAGGGAAAACATCAGTATTAAGAAAATTGGTTTATTTCAGCAGTTTTTTATTTACAAGAAACGTTGCTTGTTTTTCCCTTCCTCTTCCTGCCCTCCCCTTCCCTAAGAAAAAGAATTTTCAATTCTGATAGAGGTCATGTGTGAATATGCCTAACACAGAGTAGATGCTCACTTTTGTTTTCTCCTCTGACAGCACACCACTGTCTTGCTTGACTTCAACTGGAGTATCAAGCTCTTGTAATATCACAAACATGAAGAAACATATTGTAATGCACACACATGTGCCTACATTTGCCTATATTCCCTTCCCTCCTCCCCTCCCTCTGCCCCATTGCTTAATTAGACTTATCGCTGCTTTCTTGGTAAAAAGGAAAGCTCTTGGGAGGTGGGTTGTACTCAGCCTACACTGAGTATTTTGATTTTTTTTCTAATAATATCTGACAGGTTTGTGGTTGGTTATTACTCTTGACGTTAGAACGCGGTAAGTAGTTTCTATATGGTCGTGAGCAGTAATTTGGGTATATTAGGTCCCTTTGACTCTGCTGTGGAGCACAATTATTTCTTGTAGTCTTGGGGGTTCTTTCTTTCAAAGATCTTGAGCCCTCTTGGCAGTTCCAACTCCAGCATAGGGTAGAAGCATTTCTGCGCCTGTAACTTTGGGTAAAGCTTAACTGTCTTTGTAGCTGATGTTGGCAATGAGTGAGCACTGGGTTCTGAGTTTGAAAGAATGGTCTCAGTACATATACTGAAGTCAGGAGAGGCTTTGTGGTATTTGAAATTCGATGTGAAATGAAATTTGTAAGGAATTTATTTTTGCATGTAAATCCTAAGAGTTTTCTGTATGTGGGTTATAGCATTTTTTTCTAATTAAAACCATAGACATTAAAATGAATGTTTCTCTTCATTTTATTATAAAATACAATCTGTTTTCCTATATTTGCCTGATACAAACATTATGCACTGAGAAGTTGCCCTTGTTTTTCTGGTTCTCTGTTACCTATGCGATTTAGTTAAACATAGTTTTAAAACAATATATATGGACTTCTGAATATCATGTTATGAAATAAACTCATGTATCAGTAATGCCTCTCAGAAAATGCTGAAATATTCTTACCCACTCTATTTCATTTTTTAGTTTCTGTTCCTTTACTATTTCATGACATGCCTTAAGAGTGCTGTGATATACATAGTACCAGTCCAGGATGATAATAAAAAATAGGATATGCTCAATTGAATTATGTAGGCGGAACGTGCTCTGGCAGAGCAAGTCAGTGTGCTTTCTGCTTCATTGAGTGGGTTATTAGATTGATGTGGTTTATTTCTTGAATGATAGAACCGGTTTTAAAAATAAATGAAGCGAGAAACATCAATTCAGTTAGCACTGATAATTCATTATTATTGGTTAGAAAAGTGCTACATTTGTAAACTGATCTTTAATTTATCGTTTGGATGAGGATTTTTGATGGACAGGTTTGTTTTAATTTGAACCAGCTTCTCAATGGTGGAAAAATGTATTCTTCGTTTTGTCTTGAAGTTGGAGTTTTAAATAGTTAAAAAAAGAAAACCAATTGCATGGAAGGAATACTTTCTTAAAATTTGTAACATTGTTCTATTGATAAGCGGCAACTATAGGCTGCCCAAAACTGCTGTTAAATGAAATCAAGCTAGAGAAAAGTCTATGAAGGAAGTAAAAATTAACTACTTGTACATGTGTTTAGCTATGTGTATGAATGGTGTATATGTGAAATGTGTCTATTGGGAAAAGTCATACTCTGCTGTGTATTGTTTCTCATACATAGTGTTCTTAATGTAAGCAGCTTCTCTTTTATGATTAAGTCCTTGAAATGTCACTCTGCTTTTTGTTACCTTTTTGTATACTTTCCCTGAATAATGTGCTTTAAGTACCTACATATTTGTAAAATGATATTTGCTTTGGATTTTCACAAATTACAAGTGGGTAAGTGTGTTTAATTATGATAATGGCATTTAATAAACAGTGCATATTTAAAATTGTTACAGTTTGATTATGAAATAAACTTATTCCAGAAATGGCAACTTCTTTATCAAGTAAATAAGTGAAGTTTTAAACTCTAAGAAAATGTAGTTGGCAATGTTCAGGGCCTATTATCTTCAAGTTGGCTTTTTATTCTGCTTGTGATTTGGCCTATTGCTGTTAGGAAGCGTTGTCTAATCCCGGCCCCCTCTGTTCCTAGGTAACAGGCAAAAACGGTGCCAGCAACAGCGGCTCTGCCAGGCCAAACCCATGTGGCTTGGTGTTATTCACTCTGATCCATATGGTCAGGCTGGAGATGGTCCCTGGAGGGGTGTTAACACTCAGCAACCCAACCGCCTCCCTCCCTTCAGAGCTTTCCTGCATGGCTCCTGCTGCTTGCCCATGTGTGATTCTTGATTAATTTTTCATTTTTAATGAAGTTTGATCATGTTTATTATTTCTTATGATTGACTGCCTGGTACTCCTCCCATGTAATTGATAAAGCTCATATTTCTTCATCTGTCTCCTCTTTCTTTAGGGTAAAGTTGCTAGATTGTGTGCTGTGGTTAATGTTAGATTTATTGGTCCCATTAGATGTATAAATTATCTCTCTTTCTCTCCACAGGAAGTTCTGCAGACTTTGACCAAGTTTTGTTTCCCCTTCTATGTGGACAGGTAGTGTCAGATTTTCAAACTTTACTAGAAAAAAAAATATCAGTAAACCTGCTATGGAAAATAAAAACCATACCATTCTTAACATTCTGTCTGTTTAACCAAGATTTAAAATGCCTGTCTTCCAAGGAGAGTTGCAGTATTCTCCTTTCCTGGGGATTTTGTTGACACTATGAAGAAGTTTCAAGCATATCACTTTGCTTTGGTTAGTTTGTAAGACTTGTTGTGAATGACACTAAGTTTTTGATTTTGGTTATCAGACTCAAAACATGATTAAGAATGGTTGGTATTTAATCTAGTGCTATTTAATTTTTATTAAAATGTGAAAATGTTTGACATAACCAACTAATATATGAGTCCTTGGCCTTCTCAGTATTATGCAGACTTTGTTTTTCCTATACTTGAACTTAAAATTTAAATCAGCACAGGCCTGTCTTGTTTGAAGGTGTTCAGCTATTTAAAAGATGTATTCCTAAATAGTGTTAATAGTGTAAACCTTTCCTTAGTATTTGCATTATAATAAACTTTTCCTTGGAAAGGTATGAGTGTAAGAACTCCAAGATAATTAAAATAGTCTGAAGGTATTTTTCTCTCTTTAAAATAAGCTACTGGTTAATGTAACAATTTTAGAAGAGCTTTTAAAAATTTTTTTAAAATAAAACTATAGTTTACAAACGATACTAATAAAATGACAATCTTCTTAATCTTATTTTCACAAAATATCTGCTGTATGTTTCATTATAGTTTGTGCATTAGTTTTGCAGTTATTTATTTGTCCAGTTAATAACCATCTCTTTTTAGTTTTCTCTTAATGGAGAATTGAACTATGAAACTGTACATACATTACATCTTAAAACTTCCACTTTCAGTGACAGGGAGGTTTTAGAAAATGTCATTGTAAATATAAGTCTAAAGAAACTATAAAATGTGCCTATTTTCAGGAAAGTTCTATGATGTATTTTTATGTACCCAAACAAGGCAGACTTGGAAGATTTTAGTGATTTAGATTGCAGGTGGGTCAGATTTTCTGCTTGGATCTTCTCTACACTTTGTAGTAGCAGTGTCCTGGTTTATTTGGCACAAACCTAAAAATGGTGTGAGATAAGAATTGGTAGCCCAACAAGTTTGAAAGAGTACTAAAAAGCAAAAAAAGTAACCCTGGAACATTGCCAACCACATATAATGACTGTATTCCCTGGTTCTAATATCTAATTTTTTAAGCCAATCAACCACTGTAGTATTTTTAGACTCTGGGCTTTTTAAATGCTGATATCAGGGCTGTTTTAGTATCAGGTTGATGCTGAAAACAGAAGAGCCTTAATTTTTAGAGGGTCAGTATTTATAATGAGAGTCCTGTTGTCTCTTCTTCATCCTATTCCTTCTAAAAATAGCAAGGAAGTAGGATTTTGTTTAGAGATGTATAATGCAAACTTCACATTTATATGTATGAATTAGCAACGCATAAAATCTCCAGTTACTTCTAAAATGTATTACAAATTATGGCAAGGGTATATTTATATAAATTAATAAAGCTGAAATATTTTAAGAATGTGGTTAGGTATTCAACAAAGAAAAATACAGGAATACATTTTTTTCCTCTTTTTTTTAATTAAGGTATCATTGATATACACTCTTATGAAGGTTTCACAAGAAAAACAATGTGGTAATTATATTCACCCTTATTATCGAGTCTCCCCACCCCATACCCCATTGCAGTCACTGTCCATCAGTGTGGGAATACATTTTTATGTGACTTCTTGTTACAGTGGTGATCTGTTTTGGATAGGTATTTCTTCACTGACTTTGTAGACTAATATTAGAAGAAATGCACAATAAGATGAAATCCCCCAACATACACACACGCCTCTTTCTCTCACATTACACATCTCAACTTACCTTACGTGTCTGGATCATTACATCTTGAATTGAAAGAAAAGCAGAGCCCTTAGAGTTTAGAAATTTATACTTCTAAAATCTTTTTTGTCCCAGTGTCTCATGCCTCTTTTTGTTTGTTAGAAAAATAGGTTTCTTCTAAAATGCTTCTCTCCAAATTACCCTCTTCTAATCATGTTCCTTATATGTTTTCCACAAAATGATTTAGGACAAAAATGCCCCTTTATGGATATATATTAAACCTTGCTATGTGTAATGGTTCCTTCTAATATTGTATTATATTATACACCCTAGAAGTGATAACTTTTATTGATACAAAAAAAACCCACTTTATTTTGGGGGCTATATTTTTTCTCTTTTCCCACTTCTAACCTGGCATACTTTCATTCTTAAGAGATCATAATAATGAAAGTCATTTATAATAAATATAAAGGTTTTAATGTCGCTATTTTTTTTTTAGATTTGCAGTTAGCATTTTCAAATGGATATTCCTAGATTCTGAGACCCACAAAGCCCCTCAGAGATATTTATGATACTATTTTACTTAGAAAATATGTCAGCGTGGAGATGAGTAATGCCCTAGGTGATCACTGTTCAAAGAAGAAAGCGTCCTAATCTTTTTCGTATCTGAGCTTCTCTGCCCTGAGGAACAGTAATACAACTTTCTGACATTTCTAGTCTATAGCCAGGAGTGGGATTTTCACAGTCGTCATCAGATCACCCGTAAACATTGACATCTTGCTGTCTTTTGTGTTGGTTTGAGGTTTTTCTTTCTGAAATTAGGACTTAAGAAAAATAATAATGCTGGTAGCTCTTCAAAAGAAAGTGCTTCCTTGTGTATTAACTCATTTTATCCTCCAATCATAGGAGATGAGAACAAGTTCTGTTACTTTTATTTGAAAAAATTGTATAATTGAGCTGCAGAGAAATTGTAGCTTGCCCAAGGTCCTCGTAGGTTGCTAGCACAACCTAGATGTCTATCTCCCCAGTAAATACATTTTTCAGTAACAAAATGTACTTGTGGGAATACCAGTCACCAAATACATATAGAGAGAGGAAAGGAAAGAAATTAGTATTTGAGTTCCTAATTGATTCTAGCCACCATGCTGTACCTTTTTACATTAATACCTCATTTATTCCTTTCAGCAGCTCTAGGAGACAGGCGATGGTGGTATCTCTTTTATAAAAGAGCAAAGGAAGGTTCCAAATGGTGTAGCCTTCTGTTGGGTGATATGGAAATGGTATGAGACTTGGAGCTATGCCCTCCATGTGTTTCTCAGTCTATTCCATGAAGTATTATGAAGACACATTAATAGTATCTATCTGAAAGGATAGGAAAGACTGGTAGCCAGAGAAAACTTCTCATTGTGGGAGAGACTTGTGTTGAGACTGCAGGGATGGCAAGAAGGGGGTAAGTGGAAGGGAGAGCCTAACACCCCATATGCGCTGAAGAGCAAAGCAGAGGAGAAACCATGAGTGAGCCTAGAGACTGTTCAGCCAGAGCAGATGGAGCCTGCTGCGGAGACCATGACGTGTACTGTGATAGCTTGGGCTCTGGCTGCAGGAGGCCTTGAAAATGTGTAGGAATAAGACCACAGGATTTTTTTTTATTACCGTGTCATTGATATACAATCGTATGAAGGTTTCACATGAGCAACACTGTGGTTACAACATTCACCCATATTATCAAGTCCCTGCCCTGTTGCAGTCACTGTCCATCAGCGTAGTAAGATGCTATAGAGTCACTACTTAAGACCACAGGATTTTAAAGCTGAAATTCATCTGACTCAAACATCCCATTTTACAGAAAAGAAACCAAATCTGTAGATGAAATAACTTGCTTTTGGTCACAACTATGTAATTACAGAGCTGGGAAAGAAACCAAGTCTCTTATGCCCAATTGAGAGTTATTTTTACCCTATTTTGTACTTGAAGCTTTTGGTGGAGTGGGGTAGTGAGATGACAGCACCGAGATCCCTGTATGTGTCTCAGAACAGTCTCAAAAAAATGCTTTGTATACCATTTCATATTGTGGTGCTACTTGCTTACACTTGGTAACTGGCAACCTGCCTCAGTCAAAGCATTCAAGAGACTCACTGGATGGTGGGAAATCTGTTCCCTTCCATGTTTGTGCTTGTTCTCCTTTGGAGCCCAGAAAGTCAGCTACTATTCAGTTACCCTGTAAATTATACTAGTACACACAAATGACACAACCATGAAATAAAATGACACATCTTTTCAGGGGCAGAGGCATCATTTAGTGATTTAGGATGTAACCACAGATACAAATGTGGTTCAAATGCTATTCACCATTTTATTATGTATCTGTTACATGCCAGGCACTGTGTTGTGTTCTCTTTCTGCACTAAGAGGTTACACAGTTGCAGGCTTACCATTATCATAATGCTGTATATGAAGAAACAGAGGCTCTAATAGGTTCAATAACTTGCCCAAGGTCCCACTAATTAGTAAGTGGTCGGGCTGCTTTTGGAACCTACATTTGTCTGACTGCAATTCTACCTTACTTTTTCTACTGTGTCATACTGCCTCATTACACTATAAATAAACAGCCTTTTAAAATTTATTTCAAAGCAATATATATTTAATGTAGAAAATTAGAAAATTTAGACAACTGAAGAAAATTTAATTAATACAATGGTTAGTGCAATAGTATGTATCTGCCGAGACCTTTCCTCTTGTTCCCATCTCTATACATTGATCTTGCTCTACTTTTGAAAACTAAATCCATTTGGTCCACTTTTGTCCCTGTTTCTCATCCTTGGTATAGTTCCTTGGTTTTGTCCCATGGGTTCAGCTGCACCCTGTGATCCTTTTCTACAGTGTTTGGTAATGATGAAGCAATTGGGCCTTAGTGGACAGCATTGTGGGTAGCAAACTGGAGACCTAGGTTTCAGTTTTGGTTCTGCCATTGACTGACTGTGTCTGTGAGCAAGTAATGTCTCCCTGAGGGCCTTAGTTTCTTTATTGATAAAATGAGGGAATTGGATTAGATCTCTGCTGTTCATTCTGTTTTCGATACTTTGTGAATCTGAGTTATGATATGATGGCGTTTTTAATTTGTCAGGCTCATGTAGATTAGAGAGTAGAGA